ATTTTGTTTGCCAAACTTTGATCTTAATTACATTAGATCGACGTTGGTTTAGAGATTTTCTATTCGCCTATTTATATCAAATTTGAAGCTTTGGAATATTAACTATATTTTTATTGTTTATTATTTGATTTGTTATTTATTATACTGGTACATTGCCTATTCATAAAGGTTTAACTCGTCGAGTACCGGTTTTGTAGACACAATTATAGAACAATAGGTTGCGGTCACCGGTGACCGCTTAGTGTTTGACAGTTTAAAATCACCTGCTACTTTCATCTCTGCACTGCTTAAAGGTTGACTGGGAGACCATGCCCAAGGCATTAAGTCCGCCTGTACACAATTGTTGTATGAAGTTGAAATAAATAAATAAATTTATTATGTACAATATTAAGATCTTTCAAAAATAATTAAATGTCTGATAATTTTAAAAATGATGCGACGACTCCGTGTCTAGCAGACTAGTTCTAAAAAACTGATAAACATTTGCATTAGGTATTATGTGAGTTGCATAAGACAATTGAATTAAAGACGACAGAGAAAAGACGAAAATAATAACATCCTACTGGTTCTGAATGTAATGAGAAAATGAGCGAGGATGTAAAACAAATATTGATTATATTACCGCAATTTTAACATGGTTTTAAAACATATGAAAAGCGCTTTGACAAATCCATAGTTAGACGTGCACGGATGGTGCGGTGGCTGGGCAATCGGCTGCCGCGCAACGTGTTGCAAGTTCGATTCCCGCACGGAACAACACTTTTTGTGATCAACAATTTGTTGTTTCGGGTCTGGGTGTTATTGTGTATGTGAACTTGTATGTTTGTAAACGCACCCACAACACACCCACATCCTAATGTGGAGCAACGTTAATAAAAACGTGTAGATCAAAAATTCTAATTTATTATACGAACATTTTCAAAAATGTATCAAATTACCAATTAGACTCAAATCGGCGGAAACATTGTCAATAGCTTCCTAAAAAACTTTCGCGTTAGTCAAAAAATATTATAATAACAGTCTCATAAGACTTTAAAATTATATAAATTGAGCACATCTTTGGACGACTGTGTAGGAGCCGAACATTGAATTAGAAAAAAAAGAGATGCATATGTATAAACTAGTTACGTGTTTAGAATGTCCGAACACGTTACGTTGGGTTTCGAATCACTTGGCAAGTTATTCTGCGTTGACCTAGGTCGCGACAATATCTCTATCTCTTGTCACGTAACAATACAAGACATTAAAAAAAAAGTACTTACCATGAAGGTTAAATTACTATTTGGGAAGTATTACGATTAATAGTTAACACCCATGTCTGTTCCGCAGTTTTATTTTATTACGTTGTTAATCGTTTTGCCTCAAAACTTGGCTTACATCGTAAATTTTTTATTAATTCCATTTGCATCCGTTAACGGACATACATTTTATATCTTCCTATTTATTTATTTACATCGGTGTAGAGTTTAAACGAGGTGTACGTATAAAAGTAACATAACATAACATTACACCTTTTATCCCCGAAGGTGTAGGCAGAGGTGCACACAGAAGTGACACCCACTTTTCACTGTTTACGTTATGAGTCCCATGTAATAAGGGGTGAGCATGTTGCCATATACCGGACACATTTCCAGACTCCGTGCTACTACTGAGATTTTTTCTAAAACCCAGTAATACTTTGCCTGACCCGGGAATCGAACCCGAGACCCCTTGCCCGGCACTTGCGACCACTCGACCAACGAGGCAGTTGACAACTTATAAAATATTATAGTATAAAATCACATACATTATAATGTAGGATAATTATCTAAAATAATGTCAAAATCTTACTAAGTCAAGCGCAACGACATGGGTACTGACCGTCTTACCGTGTTTAGGCGAAATTGCAACGTTTTATCATGCGTTTAACGTGATTTAGACTACAATGCAGATACTAGTCACGATCAGGAGGTGTTGATGAAGTGCGCCCGAGCAACGCAAATATCTGGCACAAAGGCATGCCGCGCACCTCTAATTCTAATAGAAAAGACAATAATAGAATTGTCAACTTTATTATCAACGCAATTAACTCCATTTTAATTTGCATTTTTTTTATATAGGTACTGTTGATTTCGTCTAAAATTTTAAAGCCTTATCTAATTATAGAGACAGTTAGAAAAAACTACAACTCATTAAATTACTCAGACGTTTTTATTAGTTTTTAAATGCTCGTTACGAAATATGCCTACAACGTTTCTAATTCTAAGTTTTAGAAAAAATATTTTTATGTTGAATAAATGTGTTTTTGTGCCGAAAAAGTACGTAAGGTAAACATTTAGATATATTTAAATGACCTTACGTTCTAAATATAATGTGTGTGCTATTTAATGATTTATATTATTTAAAATTATTAAATACCTAGATATATATATATATTATAGATAGATAGATTTTCGGCAACGCTGTGACTCCTCTGGTGTTGCGGGTGTCCATGGGCGGCGTTGATCGCTTACCATCAGGTGGTCCGTCTGCTCGTTTGCCTCCTATACCATAAAAAAAAACCTAATAGAAGATATTTTAGCAGCGTACTTTAATGGCAATTATATCATAGAGAGCAGACAACAGAGTGATGTGTGTCACATTAAATAATGCTGTGCCAAACGGTAAAGAAGGATTTAATTTAAATATTAGATACAACACTATTAATTTTGAAAAGGAACTTGTAGTACGTAGTACTTCATTACAAAAAATACTTAATGGTGCAATAAGTCCAGGCAAACTACCATGAAGATACAGTGTAATTTCTAAGTTAGACTTATTAGTATTAATATGCACTGTGCCTACTAAGATGTCAATAACTAATTAAAAAGTTCGTGAGATAAAGTAAATTATAGGGAAATAGGAAGTTGGAATAAGAAGTTAATAAAAACCTATTAAATATATCTACCGATAAAAAGTGAATCTTAAATATGTAATATTAATTATGTATACATAATTAATTAATGACTGCACGTTCGGTGCAGTGCCTGGATACCTGGCTGCTGTGCAACATGTCGTGGGTTCAATTCCTGCTAAGAACAATCGTTTATGTTATTCACAGATTGTTGTTCCGTGTCAAATATATAATCTGTCTTTTTAAACACAACGACACGAGATAAAATTCTAGTTTGAGTATATTATTAAAAACTATTAACAATGCGTGGGTATGTCAGTAAGTTAATTATACCTGAACGTATGAATTTTAATGATTATTTCATGTTTTAATTAGACTTTAATATTATTATTCTCTATTGCATTCAATAGCTGCAAGAAGTGTAAAGAACATCTAGAAAACAAAAAAAAATATCAATTTTTAAATAACTATTACTTTGGTGTTCCCAATATATCGGGACACGAAACCACTACAATTAACATAGGTAATAGAGTAGATGTCTAATTTTTATTTTAATGTCCGTCTGGTAGATTATTTCAAATCATTAGACACGTATTTTTTATTTTCTTACAGAAACGAATACTTTCAACGATATATTGATTTGAAAAGTCGCGTGACGTCACTTCTATGTACATTTTATACGTGTAGAAATGACGTTTTAGCCCCCACTCCTAAACTTTGATTCGTTTTATAAGTAATGTTTTATACGTATTATACGACAAAATAACAAAATACGTGTCTAATATTTTTTCATTATCTAACTTACGGACTAATTAGATTTTTAATTTTCATACCCTGTCATCATCCCAATTGTAAATGACCGCTTTTCACCTAAAATTCAACAAAAGTTTCCATAAAATATGTTCTTGTCGATATTAACTAACGATACTATGTCCATATTCTAATTTTCTCTATGCAAATGCGTGTAATAAAACCGCGATGACAAACATCAACTAAAAGTTACGTTATAGGTAGATTAGTTGCATATTTGTACAAACTGAATAAATTATGGTTGCAAAAAAATCCTTCCATTAGGTACCTATATTTGTAATTATAATTCGTTTCTAAACTAACATAACATAACATCACGCCTTTTATCCCCGAAGGTGTAGGCAGAGGTGCACATTATGCCACTGTACAATGTAACACCCACTTTTCACTATTTATGTTATGAGTCCCATGTAATAGGGGGTGAGTCGTTTCTAAACTACGTTTTAAAAAACCAACTTTTAACCCCTATTTTTATTAAGTCGGTTAAATAATAAACTTAATCCTTCTCCTAAGTGTAACAAACTCTTTTCTGAAAACCGCAACAAAATCGGTTCAGCCGATCATGAGATAAACACGCACAAACATACATACATACATACCTACATACAAGTTATAATGAGAACCTCCTTAATTATTATGTCTTTGGCTTACTCACGTAACTTTGACGAGGAACTTGACTCGTTTTGAAAGAAAGAAAGAAAGAAAGAAAAAGAATTTATATGACAGTAGCCAAACACACAGATACAGAAATAAAACAACATTAAAAAGTAAAGAAGAAGTAAATGCAGATACTTAGGTATATAGGTAATACAGAACAATAATGATAACCAAAAAAAAGAAACGACGAACGATAGTTTCAAGTCATGCTAGAGGCTCATATTCATGAGTAGCATTCCGCGAGTGAACCTCCTTTTTTTGAAGTCGGTTAAAAATCAGGCTATAACCTAGCTACTAGGTAATCTGTGTATTACATAGATTACCTAAATATGTCAATTATAAGGTCACATAGTGTTTGCTCATCTCCAAAATGTTTGACTTATACAAATAAATATCTTTTCATTTGTTACTATACAGTAAATTGTCGAAATATTTTTAATATTCTCAAAATTGTTACAATTGTTATGATATCCTACGCGAGAATCGAACCCCAGATATCATATCCAACAGCTGCTATGTAACTACTAACCCACTGAGCCTGTAATATTCAAATTAAAATTAATGTAATGTTAATCAGATACTTATCTATTTTGAGATTACCGTTCGTAGGTCTACGGCGATTTGGTAGCCGATGGTAGGACGCCGCCGGAGCGGAGGCTATGTTTTATATAGTAGGGGTGGATGTTATCATTTCAGTTCACTACCAACTGTCGCGAACATTGGCCACATTCGGACAACCATGTAGGTTTTACACTTTTTTTTAATTTTCGTTTTTAATCTGATCTTTCGTGTTTTGTATTTCGAACGTTAGATTTTTAAAAAGTGAAATTGCTGCTTGGATTTTTGAAGATTCATTTGTGTTCACGTGTGTGAGGGTGCTCATATTTTTGTGGTTTTACTATTAATATATTTTTGTTCTTTTTTTAATATTTAGGTAATTTAAAATTAATTCTAGTTATTTTTTATTTACAAGACAATATAAAAATGCTATCTAAAAATTCTTCTAATAATCGTCTTAAAAAATGTGTTAAGTAAATATTAGTCGTACAGCAATATACAATAGTTACGACCTTTTATAAATTGAAGGCATACTGAAAATGTTTTCAGTAGGGTCAGGACCCTAAAAAAAACCAGGTAAAACCCAGGGGTTTTACACTCACCTTATTTGCACGATGATGTTTTTTTATATTTAATATCTTGTATTTTAAACATCATCCTTTCCCAGGATATACTGTATATATTAAAACTAAATAGTTTCAAAAATTCTATGTTTCACCAAAACTTCAGATGCCAAACGATTTAACTGAAAATTGAGTGTAATGTAATTAGGCATTTATTTTTATTAACAATAAAAACTAAATTACGTTACCAAAATAATGTGTTAACGAGTAAAATTAGTTATGCAAGCCTTTGTGCAAACCAGTGATAATTTTAACATCTTTACAATACTTTAATTTACGCCCTCATTAAGAACGTCTTTAAATTAAGTGAAGGCCTAGTCTAGTCAAGATATTATTTTATTTAGTGCTTGCATTTTGTATCTCATTTTCTCTTTGTTTAAGTTTACACCAAAAACTGCCATCGCAACTTTGCGTAATATGAACCATTCAAAATCCTTCCTCCTCTTTTGAATCAAAATCACATCTACAAATCAATTACAACTTCGATTACAGATAGACAATCTCATTTTTGTGCCTTTCAAAGACCTAAGCGCTATAGTGTAACTTGGTAATTAAATTCACTGCTATCTTGATTGCTTATTCAATGTGTCTTGTACTCGTTAGCAGTACCTAAGTCTAAAGTCAAAGTTACTATCTAATTCGGATATTACATTCAAGATCTCTGTCGGCCATCAAACTTTCAACCACTAATATTCATACGAGGCAGTATAACAATATTCTATTAGAAAATTGCTTAACTCGACGCCAAGCACACGTCCATTTACCGCAGGTAAAATCGATGTTAAGATTAAGTTTCTTAAATATTCATAAAATCGCAAAAACCAAGCCGAGACGAGAAGAAGTCCCAAAGAGAAAGTTCCGATTGACAGCTCATATTTTAAATTCAAAATAAATCAAACAATAAGCTCAACGACCTTATTCAAATGTTTGTTGTTCTCACATGATACTTCTTAATGTAAACATTGTACAATGTCTTAGAGCAATCGGTTCCACCCACTTATAGGGCACTAGTAGCCATGAGTGATGGAACAAGCCAGTAATCCACTTACCCACTTTAAAGTAATGTAACAATAAGAAAAGGGCAGCAAAGGTTAGCTAACATTCATAACCGGTTTCCTTCAAACCGCGGCGCGGACGTAAACGGATCTTGTCTATAAACGGGAAATGCCTCGAAAACGTGTTCGAAAATATAATAAAACCAAAAACAAACTTAGTCATCAGACGTTAAAAAAATAGGTCATATCTCAAAGTTAGTTCTCGGACACATATACTTTATTGTCTATATTAACTGTTGTGCTATAATTAAAAACATGCATCGTGGTCATATATACAATTGAATTGTAGGCTGTAAATATTTAATCGGACCAATTAGCTCTAACAATTGTAATAGGCTCAAAATACTAAGTAGATCTATACTTAAAGGCAATTAGCATTACCAAATGAAAGCACCCATGCGTGCAGTTCTCATAACATAATTATCGTAATATGTAAATAATAATACGTTATCATAATAGTTACTTATACACAACACTTTTTATTAGGCAACCTTAACCTAAATCCTGTTAAAACTTTGGTATGACTCCATCTACATAATCAACCTATAAACATATCCATAACTGTCACACCTTTCTGAAATATGACTGGCCGTAATCCCTCACTTGGGCCCTTCGACTTGGTTGCAATACCCATGGTCCTACGTAACTGGCCTCGACATAAAATTTGAAGTACACGGGTACCAAATACTGGTTCTATGCATTTCACTTGATGTTATAATAACAACATTGCTACTTAATGTGGTGAAGAAAATTATTCGAAACAGGTTGAAAGATAAACGAGAGACCAATTCTGATTATAATAGACCTACAAGATCAAACTACCTGATCACTATGTTCCTAATAATCATGCTGAACTAAACTCAATTATTTTCCTTATTATTTCCCAGATATCCAACATGGCTACGAAACTTCTGGTGTTACTAGCCGTGGTGTCAAGCGCGACAGCCGCTGTAAAACTCCAAGAGATGTTCTCTTGGAATGTGATGGACTGGAACTACCCTGACCCTTACACAAGACAGCAAGCCATACAATCTGGAGCTCTCGTTCAGGAGAATGCTCTCCCTGTCGGCATTGAGAGGTGGAGGAACAAACTCTTCGTCAGCGTACCTAGGTGGAAGGCGGGTAAGTTTCCTTGAAGTTAAACAAAATATTGCAACGTTTATCTTAATCTTAATTCAAGTTAAATCTAGTATAGACATCAGTCTTTTTTGTCTGACATTTTTGGCTCCTTTACACATTATCGCGGTTATAAAAGTTAATGGCTAACCTCACAATAAGATTTAGTGTAATATCAAGATTTATTTAGCGCTCCAAATCTCTATATAGCGACTAAAATATTCAGGTCAACAAAACTGCAAATTCATCAAGATTATGTTCACAAATCACAATTCATTTTTTCTACACTGCGTAATGTTGGTAAATATTGAGATAGCATAGCTTAATAACATAAGAACGTCAATTATACAGAGCCATCAGAAACTTCCGTCACGCATTTCTCTTTGCGTGTGGAAGATATTTTATGTCATCATCGTAATACGAGGTCTGTATGTCTGTACGTTGAGAAAATGCTCCCATTACCATACTGGGTGATCAAACTGAGTCCACCATATATAGTTATATCCATTTCTATTTTAATTAACATTAATTTTGAGACCCACTTTTCAAATATAGCTGAGATTAATGGGAGCGATGTTATTATTTTGAAACTTACTACAAACTCGTCGGTGGCCTACTTTATTTTGTGAAGTACAACAAGTTACTTTTCTAATGTGTCGGTATCTACCGTATAAATCTACGTTTATGACTCATGTTCACAAAATTGTCGTTAGATATCATTAATTTACCTTTTACTGTTTCCTCAAATAACGAAATTATTTTTAAAGTATATGTATAACTCAAGGTTTCGTAGTAATTAATTTGATTAGGTAACTCATATTATAACATATATTTATTCATAGATACGTTGTAAGTTCTTGGTTAGCGTAGAAACACATTACGGAAGTTGAACCGGATGAGAATTTCCTATTAAAACCACAACTATTTGAAGATGGTCAGAAAGATTTGTAACCATTTCCTTATTTTCATATTTTAGCGCCTAGACTAGAAACATGGATAGTACTAGAGAGTTATACATTGCTAAATTTTTTCATTTTTATACACAAACCGATCAGAATAATATGTTGTATATTATGTAAGTGTAAATAGGTGTTGAAATATACTCAATCGTATATTTTCCAGGTATTCCTGCTACACTGAACTACATACCTTTGGATGCCCCCTACGATCCGTCTCCAAAACTGAACCCCTACCCAAGTTTTGCAGGCAACGAGTTGGGTAACTGCCAGACCGGTCTGAACACAGTCTACAGGATAAAGGTCGACAAATGTGACCGTCTCTGGGTCCTCGATGTTGGTACATACGGATATGGTAAGTGAACAGGCTATATACCATATATTTAGTGTAGTGTAATCATAGGAATAAATAAAACACATCGCGATAAGCAGTTCCTTCGTTTAAGTAGTTTCACTTTTCTGCTAGGCGTTAACCTTAATTGCTTTACATTAAACAATATCAATTAAGCGTTGTCGGAATGTAAGTGCTGTAATCAAGTACCTAATTCAATTACGCATAATTAATTGTTTCCAGATGCCAACGTTACCAACCTCTGCCCATACTCGCTCAACATTTACGATCTGAACACTGACCAACGCATCCGAAGATATGTATTTCGTCCTGAAGACATTGTTTCATCTACATTCATTGCTAACATTGCTCTCGACGAAGGAAGAACCTGTGATGATACTTTCGCTTACTTCTCCGACGAGCTCGGCTACGGTCTCATAGCCTACTCATGGCAACAAAACAGGTCGTGGAGATTTAGCCATGGATTCTTTATGCCCGACCCTCTGACCGGAGATTTCAACATCGCCGGCTTGAACTTCCAATGGAGTGCCGAAGGAATTTTCGGAATCACTGCTTCTCCTGCGGGACCAGATGGTTTCAGAACGCTCTACTTCAGCCCCTTGGCTAGTCACACCCAGTTTGCTGTCTCTACTCGGATTTTACGCGATGAATCAAAAGTAACTGGATCATACCGCGACTTCCAAGTTGTAGGTGAACGAGGTGCTAACGGCCACACTACCTCTAAAGTGATGGACGAATATACTGGAATTGAATTGTTCAATTTGATTGACCAAAATGCTATTGGATGCTGGAGACAAGATCTACCTTATAAACCACAAAACATTGCTGTGGTAGACAAAGACGACGCGGGTCTTATTTTCCCTAGCGATGTCAAAATTGACGCTCAACGGAATGTGTGGGTAATGTCCGACAGGATGCCGGTGTTCCTTGAATCTACTTTAGATTACAGTGACATCAACTTCAGAGTGTACACTGCTCCCATTGATATTCTGGTTCAAGAAACTGTTTGCCAGGCTGCTCCTCAGCTTTTGCAGACCGTCAAACCAGTTCAACAAACTAGCGTGATTCCTCAGCAGCCCTCATACTCAATCTACGAAACAGGTTTGGGAGTGACTGCGAACCCCCTGACCATTCAGGGAGGTTCTCTTTCGCTGTTCTCTCCCGTTTCATCTCCTCAGCCGGAGATAGCCAGCACCTTCAGGCCTGGAACTATTATTAGGAACTCGATACCTACTGTGCAGAGCTACATCAACTTCCCCAAACAAACTGCAATCCCCTACATTGCTGGAAGGCCAAAATCCTACATTCACTCTAGCCGAAACCCTTGGTGGCACGAAAAACGTAATTACGAAGTATACGAACATTAACATCGAATATAGTACTTCTATTCGAAATAACTAAGAATAGGATATATACAATGTTGCTTAGGAACTTTATCTGTCCAATCAACATTGGTTCTTCTAATTACTATACATTACTTACTGTTAATTCTTAGTAGATATGTAAATGTATTTTGACATACAATTTCATATTTGCAGTTTACCATGCTGCAGAACATTAACTATTATTTGCAATAGTTAAATGTATCTGCCAACTCAACTCAAACTCAACTGTTAGACACGTGTCCATTAGTTTCTGTGACTTTAAAACATTATTAAGTTATAAAATATTTATTTGGTTATAACACGTAAGTATTCAGAAGTTATTGTAAAAAATGTACTTCTAGAAATCATCAAAATTATTATTGTAAGATTTTTACGTGCATTGTACATGTATAGTAGCTTAATAATATAATTACGGTTAAAACTGTTCCCATAGTGTGTGAGAGTTACCTGTTATTTAATTTTTTTACGAAATAAACGATATACTTAAATGTAATTTTATTTTTATTTCAACAGTAATCTAAATTACCTTAAAATGGATGACATGAACACATATGTAAGGAAACTACATAACATAACGTAACATCACGCCTTTTATCCTCGACGGGTTAGGCAGAGGTGTACGTTACGGCACTTAATGCCACTGTACTATGTAATACCTACTTTTTACTATTTATGTTATGAGTTCCATGTAATAGGGGGTGAGCCGAGCCTATTACCATATACCGCCCACAATTCCAGACTCCGTCCTACCACTGTTATTTTTTTTAAACCCAGTAGTACTTTGCTCGACCAGGGAATCGAACCCGAGACCCTTTGCCCGGCAGTCGCACTTGCGACCACTCGGCCAAGGAGACTACATCTCACTTTTTAATTATTAATTAGATAGGTTTTGGTCAATTTCTCTATAGTCTATCTTTCACTGTATAATGTCGGAATACTCAAACGCTACTCAATTTTAAGTCGTGCTTAAGTATAGTTCTGTCCCTACAAATTATTTGTAAAATGACAGGGACGGCACGATATTTAAGCACGACTTAAAATTGAGTAACGTTTCAGTATTTCGGTATAAGTCTTTCAAAACTATCTGAAACCTACAATTTTTATTCATGGTTACCTGACTGCCCAAGAACACCAAGGTAGCAAAGTGATCAAAATAGATAAATGAGAAGTATTTAATCTTCTACTCAATAGTCTATTAAGTTGTTTTCCCAACTCAGTATGAGCAAGCACGTTATCATTTAATCCTGGTACCAGTAGTACCAACAATAAAATACTCATAGAATTTAAATTTAATTCCAGCACTTCTATTCATATCTATAGTTTTAATTAAATTCTCCTTGTAGTTATGATAAGGACACACCCGTACAACAAAATAAAGCGAAAGAACTCATTTATACAATACACCGAACCGATTCGTACCGCACAAACGTACCTGCGTTAAAATTGTTTAAAACATACACGTGAATTCTGCAAAAGATGTTTCCTTATCACACTATCTAGATTTACGCCAGTGTCAGTCAAATATAAAGCAATAAACGTCTTTATAATGCACACTAGTAAAGCCATTTATTGTAACATTATACTATTTTCTTAGATGTCACACACAAACTACCTTGAGGAAACTGTTGAAAACCTCGCATCTTACAGTCTTAAAAAAAAATCGGATAATCTGTTTGAGATCGTTTACGTATTTTCAGTATTTTTGTGAACAATAACGGTACACGACGAACGATACAACGTTTTGTGAATTTGAATTTAATTGTGTTAATTCTGTGTTATTGTTCAAAATGTATTCGAAGCGTAATTAATATCAAGCAAGGTGGTTTATGTGCTAAAGAACTGTAATTATAATAATATATCTATAGACATTCTTTAATGCAAGTCGAATAACTATGGGGGTCGAAAATGCTGAAGTGAAGGCGGAATACAACCCCTATGAACACAGGAAAGTGGAAAAACCGACATCGTAAGTTGTAATTTGATTTCAATAACTAATAATATTATTACCTAAGTAAATAATTGTGAGTAATTTTCCTATCATTTGTGTTTTTTTTTATTTTATCTTGACAAATAAAAGTCACTTCGTTAAATATTACAGGTAACGTAAACGTTAATTATATTCAATTAGTTTTCTACATATTATATGTAAATATTTTATGTAAGAATGTAAAATTAATATACAACATCGAATAATGACAATGCAGCATCCTCTTCAGAGATTTTTCATTAATTTACTAAACAGCGTAATACTAATTATATATTTAAACAGATAAATAAAATTGGAGTGTCTGTTTGTAATATTAAAATAACCGTTTTGTACTACTAATACACATACCAAAATAACAATTTTAACAATTTTTGTTTGTTTGTTTGTACTGGTTTATGTCTGGAATGGCTGGACGTATTACGGGACTTTTATAGACGGGTAGTTTATGTACTACGGAGTAACATAGGCTACTTTTATTTTGGAAAATTAAAACAAAAAAATGTTATGTCCTAAAATTCATATTCTACGCAGACCAAGTCGTACAATGGTACATATATTTAATAAGGTCAAAACTTGTGAATATATCAGTTATTATTACATTACTAACAGCAATAACGATTCTAAAACAATATTTTGCTATTCTCAGAGATATACGATCAACAGCAAACTTGATCAAAGCCTCCCTGGGCTCTGGTTTGTTGGCTGGTCCACTGGCGTTCTCCAACGCAGGATGGGGCGTCGGACTGTTTGGCACATTACTCGTCGGTGTAATATGTGGGCACTGCATTCATATATTAGTAAGAATATTTTATTATTATTATTTTTAAACCGTTGGTATACCTACACTTGCGTTCTTCTATGTCATGCGTTTTATCAAATACATATCCCAGATGCAGAACAACAATTTGTGGAAATCGCACCCACGACAAAGTTATCTACTTACTTAAGGTCGTTCCTCAAAAGAGTACAATTCGGGTCTTTAACTGTGAAAGTAATACAAATTATTTATTAAATTCGATAAGACAAAGAAAACCATTGTTGAAAACCTTTTTTTATGACGGTGAGAAAAACTCTGGTCTTCAAAAACCGTCTTGTCTTTTGGGGGGAAAACTAAGGCGTGTGACATTTTTACCACACCAAAACCACCATAGTGGCCATCTTTGCCACCTGTTAGGGGGGCACCGGGTCTAATAGACCTTCTCCGGAACTCCTGAAAACCTAATGCACGGTAGTGAGTACTATTTTCACGCAGCTATTTTTTTTCAATAAGAACTTATAAATAGTACAACGATTGTAATATTCACATTTGAACCGACAAAAGACGGCGTCTACGAAAGTTATTATTTATGTTTTGATTCAGTTAAACGCGTGTTACATACATTACATATATATTTGTTACATATTTTATTTTTAAGACAGTCACAGAGCCACGTATTTGCAAATTAATTACTAATTCTACTTACAAAAGTGTAATTCTTATGTAAAAAAGATAAATACATATAGATAGCACTTTACTTTTATTTTTCAGTTCAATTAGTTTATTTTTTATCATGCATGACTCATGTTTATTTACTTATACATTATTTCTAATATATACATTAAAACCTATACAACTTAAAAACTACTTAACAAAGAAAATGAAAGATAAAAGAAAGGTAAATAAAATAACTATTGACTACAAAAACATCAACAAATAAATCACTACTGGTTTGATTTCAATGATTTTAGTTTCAGTTTATTGTCAATGGTTATTGATGTATTCTGGTAGAAAAATCATTCTTTTGAATTTATTATCTTTAATTTTATAAAACTTAATGTCAGATATCCTAATTTTTTATTAATTCAATAGACATAAATAAAATTAATATTAACTATTACTAAATGAAAATATATACCACTTAAAATATAAATAACTGTGAACTAAAATATTTACACCTTAAAAAAATAATAAAAAAGTTATCATATGGCATCAAAAAAAATATTTTTCCTCATCGCTATCGTGAGGTAGGGTGCCCAAAAGACTGGCAGCATTGCCACGTTGAATGGCAATGCTTAACCTTTGTCCAATGTAGAAGCCAACCCTTCGATCACCTGAAGTGTCAACCATCCTCCATCTTTGTAAAGAAGATGTGCACTTGGGCCCCACGGCCCTAAAGTTTCAACCCCAAACGGTTCGAATGGTTAAAATAGCAAGTAAATTAGTGTAAATGTTTTGATTCACTAATTTAGTCAATAGAAAACTGGATTTATTTAAAGAAATTGATATTACACTAAGCGTTTAAACTATTATATTACAAAAACTGCCTTGGTTTATTAGCTACCCAAAAACATTAGATTATTCATAATATTCTCAAAAATAAATTAATAACTTGATGATAAGTAAAGTGTAATGAAGTAAAGTAGGAAAACGGGCAATTTCAATAACATCATTATTTTTCTCAATTTTTTCAAAGAGACCTTCCCTAATTTTATTTAAATATTATTGAGGGGTAAATCATCCAATGACTCTCTCGCCTTAGCTTAGGCGAGAGGGAGTGTCAGACTCTCATTGACTAAAAAACGCCCTGTTCCTACTCCTGCTCTTCGAGCCGGAGCCCCGTTAACCCGTTAGGCCTTCCGCGACTCCGGAAGTGACCTTCCCTATGATGAGTGCTTCGTTATCTCTGTGACGGTCACTCTTGAACTGAATGAGCGTCTTAATTCTTCAGCCGTTTCGATTATAAATCGTATAAGATCCAAGCTTTCTTAAACGCCCCTATCCGCGTCAATGGACAGACAGCCTTATGGTCGGATGAGAGCAATTCAAGCAGAATAATACTATAAAGTATCACAATATCCATTATTAGTCCCCAAAAATTCAATTCAAGCATGGCATCGCTTAGCAAGGCATGGCATGGCATATCGTGGCATGGCATGGCGTTGCATGGAGTTGCAAGTCGTGGCATGGCATGGCGTGGCGTGGCGTAGCATGAAGTTTCATGGCGTGGCATGGCATAGCGTGGCATTGCGGATGAGGTGTGGCATGGCGGTGCATTGCGTGGCCTAACATGGCATGACATAGCGTGGCATGGTGTTGCATTGCGTGGCCTAGCATGGCAGGGCATGGTATGGTATGTCCTGGCATGCCACAGAATAGCATGACATGGTGTTGCATGGCATGGCATGGCATAGCGTGGCATAGCATGACGTTGCATGGTATGGTGGTATGGCGCTGCATGGCTTTACATGGGGTGGCATGGCAAAGCATGGCGCTGATCGGGGTGGCATGGCATGGCATGGGGTGCCTTGGCATGGCATCATGGCTTTTCATGGTATGACGTGGCATTGCATCGCGTGGCTCTGCATGGCATGGCATGGCATGGCATGGCATAGCATGGCATGGCATAGCATGGCATGGCATGGCATGACATGGCATGGCATGGCATAGCATGGCATGGCATAGCATGGCATGGCATGGCATAGCATAGCATAGCATGGCATGGCATAGCATGGCATGGCGTGACATAGCATGGCATGGCGTGGCATAAAATGGCATGGCGTGACATAGCATGGCATGGCGTGGCATAAAATGGCATGGCGTAGCATAGCATAGCATGGCGTTGCATGGGGTGGCATGGCAGGGCTTGACATGGCGTTGCATGGGATAGCATGACATGGCATTGCATGGGGTGGCATGGCATGGCATGGCATGGCGTTGCATAGCATGGCATGGCATCATGGCGTTGCATGGCATGACGTGGCATGGCATGGCGTGGCTCTGCATGACATGGCATAGCATGGCGTGGCGTGGCATGGCATGGCATGGCATGGCATGGCGTTGCATGGGACGTCATGGCACGGCATGGCATTGCGTTGCATGGCATGGCATGGCGTTGCATGGGATGGCATGGCATGGCGTGGCATGGGATGGCATGGCATGGCGTGGCGTTTCATGGCATGGAAAAGCAGTAGTCTGTAGGCGCAAGGTCTGGTAAGTAGCTCCGTTTAGGTGTAAAATGCTCATCAGTATAAATTAGTGAAGCCCAAATACAAGGGAGTCGGTCGATCCATATCAGTTCCATGATCATGTCGGGTCCACTGCAGACCCTTATATATACAGGCATATTTCTATTATTATATTATTTTTGTCTGTACCTGCCTGACTGCCTCGTTGGCCAAGTGGTCGCAAGTACGACTGCCGGGCAAGGGGTCTCTGGTTCGATTCCCGGGTCGGGCAAAGTATTAATCAGATTTTTTAAATTCTCAGTAGTAGCACGGAGTCTAGAGGTGTGCCCAGTATACGGCAATGGGCTCACGACCATGGGATTCATAACATAAATAGTGAAATGTGTGTGTTACATTGTACAGTACATTAAGTGCCGTAATCTGCAATTCTACCTACCCCTTCAGGGATAAAAAGTGTGATGTTATGGTATTATAGACTTTGTTTTTGACTTTGATTATATCACATTCGCTATTTAAAACAATTTCAGTACCAATCGCAGTCTTATCATTTTCACGAAATTGTTGTTTAGAACGAGTTTGATAATGACCTTCATATTTTCCACGACCAAGGTGTATAAAATTTCCATGAAACGATAAAGGCGACAACAAGTTTTCACAATAAATATTTTCTTTCTTTCAACTCGTTAAACAAAAAGCGAATGTAAAAAGTAAATATTTAAAGACTGTCGAGTGATCGAAAAAATTACAGTTTCCAATGTTGTTTTCCATTAGGGTTCGAGTCAGACAAAATACTTATTTACTTTTGATTGCACAAAAATGTTGTTATTATTTTTTTTCGATATTAGATATTTTATATAATTTCAATCCGATTATGGCAAAATGAACATTGCTTATTTTTAAGGGCATCACGATTCACGAACGACATAACTTCTCTTCTGTACATAAATGTAAATACACATCTGGCCACTACTTCATATATGATATAAACTAATTTACCTATAACAGTATTCTCTAAACATTACAGGTGAGAACGTCGCAACAATGCTGTGTTATAGAAAAGAAACCTTCATTAGGTTACGCAGAAACTTGCAAAGCTGCCTTCATGAATGGACCGAAAGGTGCTAGAAAATTTGCGAATTTTGCGAGGTAAATAATAATAATAGCTACATAAATATATATCTATAATTATATCTGTATAATGTCTTACCACCAACAGCAAGCAAATACCAATGTGACTTTTTCCGAGTTAGGTATATATACTTTCTAAGATTATTCAGACACCACTGACAACAGTGAAGGAAAACATCGTGAGGAAACCTGGGCTTATAATTTCTAATTATAAGTTTTAAATCGCCAACTCGCATTGAGCAAGCGTGGTGATTAATGCTCAAACCTTCTCCGTGTGAGACGAGGCTTTGCTCAACAGTGGTCATTTATAGGTTGTTGATGATGATATCTGTACCTAATAGTACCTATACATAAAGCCCAAGAGATTGATTGTTAATTTGATCACGCTAATCTCAGGAACTGCAGGTTTCGTTAAAAAAATATTTTTGTTTTATCCATTTATCGAAGAAAGCCAAAGGCAATAAAACATCATGCTACGATGAATACGAGCTAAACAATTGCTAGTGTAGTAATTCAACAGTTTTGGATGATTACCAAAACAAGGCTTAGATAAAAGTATTATAAGAACAATTCAACCACGATCTTGGTGCCTATGTATGTAAGTTTACGTAAGTCTTTATGACTATATCTGTCACAATTTCTTTAAAATGTTCACAATCATAAACAGCCTATTGCAAGTGGTTTGATGGCGGCCTCAAATTTCCGTTATATAATAATATGTGTTAAGGCTACGACAAGATATGTCTACTTATCTTAAACAGCTTTATTAAGGAAACAATATGACACTTAAACAGAAAGCATCTCATACTTAGGTATTAGGTAGCTATGAGTCAACATCAATGGAAAAGTTTATTTTAAAGTGTTCTCTTTCATAAATTCCCGACAAGGAGCTCTTATGTCCTCAATTACTGATATGTATAAACATAGCTTATATATTTTATAGACAGCCGTCTCATAATTCATAATAAATTTAATAAAAAACGATCTTATCACTAAGAAAATAATGTTCTTTTTTCAGTATTTTTGCTGAATTCGCTCTACTGTTTACGTATGCGGGAGTATGCTGTATCTATACTGTATTGATATCAGATTCAGTAAAACAGGTATGTTATGAGATTATAATTATATTTCTTTCTTTATTAATTTATTTAAACTACGTTGGTAAGAAATCACCTTTTAAAGACTTATCTAAATTAATATTCCTGTTAATAATCGCTTTTAGTTGCAAATTGCAATGATGCAATTTCTTACGAATTGTAGACCTACGTAATAAAAGGTGACGAGACTATTACCCTCTGAGACACAAATTCAGACGCAGCGTGATTACTCATAATTTTAAAAATCGAAAAACCTAGTACCTAATGCACATACCGGCCAGTATTGGCTGGACCAGTCGAATGACGTAGGCGTTTCATTGTCTGAAAAACCTTAACATTTATTTAACAAATCATTATCCTTTCGTTGTTACGCATATTTTTGACTTATCGCTATTTATTATTTACTAGATTGCTTTAGAACAGTGACATAGTTTAAATTTACTAAATAAGTTGTGTTTTAATCGACATAATTGTTAACCTCGGGTTGAGGATAATGACGTTGTTACCAGGCAATAATTTAGCTTTGTAACATAAAATCTAATCTCATTTGACAAGAACTCTTAGAAGAAATATATTATTAATTCTTTCGTATTGTCTATACTCACGTTTGCACCAAAAAAAATGTAAACTGATGTTTCTCTTTACACTAATGTTTATCATTTAATGACACATTGATAACTATTTAAGCTTTCTTGATACTTTTAACGCCTGGCAATAAATGCCACTCAAGATCTACGTAGACGTGTGACTAAGTTGACAATCGTAAAGAAATTTACAACTATAATGACGTGGTAGGAGCTAGAAGTGGAAAATGATTTGGTAAATAAACGATACACTTGACTACACAAACAAACTGTTTGATTTCAAAGTGCTCACCTAAATTTAGAACCATTACCTACACCATTTTATCAATTAAAAGTGTGAGACGGTTTTAAGTGTGAATCTTTATTATGATTCCTCCAAGCACTTACATACCAAAGTATAACCGTCATAATATTACCTAATTCTATTATAATATGAGACTGACCCTTTGTTTTAATACCAGCCAGAAGATGAAAATATTATTAAAATAATTTGTGTGAGAAAATTTTTGTTAAGTCAGTTCCCCCGATGCGTAGATTGAGAATATCTTTTATTTATTTCATTTCATCTTAATCCACTCTTATCATACAGATTTGTTACATACAGCTTTAACCGTCGCTTATTGTGTTAAACAATAGGCTTAACTCAATACTAACATTATCATACATAAATATACGACTGACCTTAACATTAGATTAAACCACTATAACTAGATTGTATCAAAGCATCCTTTACGCCTATTAATTGTCTTAATTTCCTAGTTTTATGTCTGCAAGAAACATGGAGAAACAATAACTGATTTTTTTTTCTTCTTTTCAGTTGGTGGATCGCTACGCACCATCCACCATCCTACCAGTAGAGTACTATTGTCTTATAATACTAGTACCAATAATATTACTATGTCAGATCAAGTACCTCAAGTTCCTCGCGATATTCTCTGGGATCGCCAACATATTACTGTTTACCGTATATGTTGTATGTCTGTACTATATCTTTGGAGGCGAATTATCGTTCGAAGGGAAACAGGCTGCCGGAGATCCTGCAAGATATCCGGCATTTTTATCGTAAGTATAAAGACAAAAACTATGTACCTCTATAACATAAGGGGTATAAATGAACATATAAATGAAATTAGAGTTTCTGCTTGTAATATTAAATGAACCGCTTTTTACTAAATGCGTATTATGAATACACATACGATTTAAACACCAAAACATATTTACAATTTTTGTCTGTCTGTCTGGTTCTACTAGCTGATGTCTGAAATGGCTGGACCGGTTTTGCAACTTTTATTGGTACTTTACTTTTATATGTTACTACAAAGGCTGTTTTTGAAACAAAAATATAGTTATGTAGATACTAAAATTCCTATTCAATGCAAATGACATAGCGGGCAGAAGGAACAGCTAGTGTAATATAATCAGTCGTCTAAATCTTGTGCTTAGGTTACAAACTTTACACTAATTGGACTAAAGATAAGACTTGAAGCCATATGAGAATAAATCACCTTCAAAATATAAATGCTACATAGGAGTTGGAAGTTCAAACTTCCTGGCATAGTTGCGAAATATGCAACTAGATCAAAAAACATGAAACTAACCTCAACCTCTGCATTATTCGGATTTTATAGTCTTCTCATTATTTTCTATTTGTAAAACAACAATGAGACATAAATAAAAATCAACAATAAAACACTGTATAAATGTTTAAACAATAAAGCAATTTACTTTTTATTCCATCGAAGGGTGTCTTATCTGAGAGACCACATCGCCGCATCGTCTAGTGCCGGAAATAAATAACAATGTAAAAGCATTTTTTTTTTCTATAAATAATAAATTAAATTTCAGGACAGTAATATTCGCAATGGAAGGCGTTGGAGTAGTGATGCCGATTGAGAACACGATGAAGAAACCACAGAACTTCTTGGGCTGTCCAAGTGTTCTGGTAGTAGCCATGGGAGCTATCGTCTTCCTCTACGGAACTCTTGGCATGTTTGGATACCTCCGTTATGGCGACGTGTTAAGAGGTTCTATCACTCTTAACCTTCCTACTGATGAATGGTTAGTGGGTATATACATTTCAAATCTACGTTCAGTATTAGACTAAAAATGTTTTGACAATTTTCATTATACCTACATCAAATCCAAAAAATAAGTGAACTATCTTCCCTGTTATGGGATAGGATCATACCCATTTTTTACTATTTTAGTCACGTCACGTGCCTTAAGTACTTCCAGCTAAAAGTGGAACTAACTTGATTTCTATCCATTCTCCAGTATTATTCTTTCATCAATTTCAACATTAAAAATAACATAACCAAAACTCATCTTGAATTAGTTCGTCTATAGGTATAAATTCTGGCTACTGAATAAGTGCTTAGTCCATAAACTTGATAACCTTGACAGTGAAGCTAGTACCTAATATGACTAAACCGTAGCATCCACAAAATTCTCGGTTGTGATTAATTCTACATATGAACTGAAAAATACTTTGAAATTGTATATTATTAATTCATTTTTACAACCATGAATGTTGTCTACACAATTAAAAATCTAAGGTTGTCTGGAAGAACTCTTCGTTGCATGATAAGAAGGTTCATTATACGCCTATTGCCTATACCTATATGCCAAAATAAGGAAAAACATGCATAATCAAATACAAAACTATCCAAACATGTATCTAATTTTTAGTCTCTAAACTCGTTTCTTAATATTGTTGCAACCTTTCCGTATTTTTGTTTTTGCGTTTGTTGCTAAAAACGATGTCGGATAGACAAAATTCATATTCACTTTATTTAAGTCTATAATCCTAAAGCTCTTCTCTTTTTTACAGGCCAGCAGTATTAGCCAAGGTTTCTATAGCGTTATCAATATTCCTGACATACCCACTGCAATTCTACGTGGTCATTGATATCTTCACGAGGTACACTCAGCCTCATATAAAGGAGAACTATCAGCAGATAATCCAAATAGTGGCCAGGACTGTGGGAGTGTGCTGTTGTGGTAGGTCCTTACTATACTACACGTACTTTTGATCGTGACTTTGTGATCGCACAAAAAACCTGGTTTTACAATACACCATTTTAGAAAATACTATACTAAATAGAAGAGTATTTGTTCTCACTGTCCAAAGAATGCAGAATACATCTAAGTTTACGTTTATAGATATTTAAATACATATACGAATATCATAACATCTTAACTCATAAATATGTGCAACAAATTGACTAGTAAACCTTTAGTTGGATTGGTTTTCCCAAAAAAATAGGTTTTTCATTTCGAAAACCTCATTAGTCATTGTCAACTGTAGCGATGATTTAACTTGTGCCAGTTAAAAGTTGATTACTATAATTTGACGTAGTTTACAATGAAATAATGTAATTGAACATTGTTAGTAAATATTCCTGCTAACTACCAGGATTGTCTAAAATTGTGCCCAGTATCAATGACGATCTTTCAGTTAATAAGGTGGACCTTTGCTTTCAAGGCGATAAACCTAGTTATTGCTATAACATTTAAAAACAAGCACTTACATGTAATTAATATGGTACATTTTCCAATACATACATGTCGTGCCACGTCTGACCATGTAACTTAATAAAATCAAATTCAAATATACATGCGTTTGACAACCCTACTAATTAAACTGGCGTTTAAACCACTGATTGCAAATGTCGGTCAATTGTGACGAATGTTATGATATTTTTAATTTAATTTACTGACTCGTACGGATTAAATTGATTCATTAAAAACCTATAAAAGATAAGAGGAATAGTGAAATATTAAGTTTTATTCGTATAGTTCATTTTATTTTGCATCCGCTACTCATCGCTATCAGAAATTCACCTCCCATATCGAATAATATTTCTGTTCGATGAATATTCTAATTGATCATCGTTGGTCGCGTTATCGCTACACTTAAGTACTGTAACACTTGTATAGGATTTATTCACATCAACATTGAAAAGGTTCTACTGATAGAAAACTAAACAACTACTGTTGTGTTATTGTCTTAATCAACTTTCCGTAACTAGCTAATATTTACAATAACATGATAACAATTATTAAAGAAAAGAGTCAGTTAGAGCTCTTTCACATGGCCATCATAAGCATGGTCGGCGAGCACAGGTAACTCGCCGACCGACCAGAACCAGGCAGAGCGTACGGCGCTTCACGTTCCGCACGCGCCTCAAGCAGCCATCAGACCACCCCAGATGGGGAGGAGATGATTAATCAGAAAGCAAACCTTAAGAAACTTCTTTGTCCATTCATTTTACAGTGGGTATAGGAATGGCGCTTCCCCTACTGGAGCAAATCCTCAACATAGTTGGAGCACTGTTCTACTCTATCCTTGGCCTCGTGATCCCCAGTGTCATAGAAACTGTCTTCAAATGGGAGAACCTGGGTAAATGGAACTGGATACTGTGGAAGAATGGCTTCATCTTCTTATTCGGGATGTTCAGCCTCCTGTCAGGATGTACCGTCACAATTATGGATATAATCAAGATTCTGAATGAGAAAACTGAATAACAATAACAATTTTCATGTAGCCAAACTTAGTATTAAATTGTAAATTATATACATACAACGATTGTCTCATTATTTATTTACTTGTCCCAAAATGAATCGTTTAACTCACAAAGTGAGGTACAATTTAGAAGAACAATTACTATGTTTAATCTGTTAATGTTTTCTGCTACTATTTGGAAACTCCGTAATTTTGTTTATAGAACATTCTACAATAGTCGTGGACTGTTGACTAAGCTACAGATACACAAAGAACTTGACTTAGATGTCTGGATGTAAATCAATAAATTAAATCGCCCTATATACTTTTACTAGCAGCCCGTCCCGGCTTCGCACGGAGTAGACAATTATTTATTTTTGGAAATTTGGATTGTTGTAGTGACATAACTACAATACTTGGACATATGCTACCGCGGAGTTTTTCGTAGATATTATAATGTTCTTCAAAATTGTTGTACATTATTTTGTTCTATCGCTAATAGTTTCGGCAGCACGTTCGACGAAAGACATTTTAAGACTCATTTTTCTACACCTTCGGTTACATTGTTCAATTTTTACCAAGGATCCCTAATTTTTCAAAATGAAATGTAGCCTACGTCAAATTGGAAGAATGTAGCATACTATTGGTGAAAGAATTTTTTAAATCGGCCCAGTACTTTTTGAGCCTATTCATTACAAACATACAAACATATAAAAATAGGTACAAATCTTTCCTCTTTATAATATTAGTATAGATAAAGATTTTTCACAAATATTCTTGACATTTCTCCATTGCTAGGTGTACCCTAAGAATCATTTCGCAAGTAGACAGTCTCAGAACAATCACTCGATATACAGGATATACCCCTACTTCATGAAGAAATGGGCTAACAAACTCTCAATTATCTGTGACTTCTATTATCAATCATTAAACACCAAGCAAGTTACACTTGACATAACGCGAACACTTACCCGATGACGTCACAACAGGTTTATTGTAGTTTTTTTGCTTATTAAAGATAATGGGCACGTGTAAAATACCAAGGCTTTGAAGTGTTGAATTTCGTTGACAAAGTTGAGAAATTGACGTAGTTTTTGAATAAGTTATGTCAAATTAATAATTATGATTGGTGATAGACAAGTGGTTACTGAACTTGTAGGTTGAGTTCAGGTTATCTTTAAATACCATTGTGGTTGCGTAACTGGTCACAAATGTTAGGTACGATTTCAGAATTTCGGAAAAGCAGTGGAAAATTATTGAATATCAGATTATTATGTCTACATAAAAAAAAACTAAACCAATCTATACTATTAGACCTAATAAAAACTAAAGCATTTCCAACTAACATTAACATAAGAAATATAGAAGAAAAAGAAAGGAAAAATAAAGAATCTAACTAAACGCATCAAAGAAAAATTATTCTTATATTGTCATGAAATAAATATTCGATTTTTTTTTATTCACATAAAGCCTGTAAATATTTTGCACAGTTAATAGTAAAAAGTATGAAATACCTACTTACATAATTACGTTTACTTTTAAATCATTGGAATAGGTGTGATGTACGACAGTATCAATGGTACATTAACAATTTATTAATTGTTCAGGGGAAAGTACCAATTAAAAAATGCATACTATAATTGGATCTATGAATTTACCCACGTAATAATACTACGTCATTGAGTAACAACAGGTAGCATAATTAACTATTATTATCATCGGATACCATCATATCTACCTGTTATTTTACTATTAATGCATGCACACAATATAAAATCCAGTACTGCAATACAGGAGTCGAAAAGCGAACTTATTTTTTATTAAAAGAGCACCATGTAATAATTTCACAGCTAATTAGTACTTGTATGATAAGAATATTTTCAATGACATTACTATCATAACCTTTTATTATTGAAGTACCTACTCTCTCCAAAGGTTGTCTCGCAGACATTGTAATATTTGATAAGACAACTGTATGCACGAAAACATTTGGTATAATTTTAATGAAAAATAGGACTTATTATTTACTTACCACCTTTTTAGTGATGAGGAAAATATTCAAAAGGCACCCAGCTTTTAAGGAAGAGATGAGGTGGTAGTATGGGAGTCTAACCACCACCAGCAACTTTATGAAAACACTAGCTGCTGTCCACGTAGAATATGATTCCTGTTTTATCCTATGGGAGTATTTAATTGGGATAAAAAGTATCCTATCACCTAAGTCAGCTCATACTCTGCCTGTATACCAAATTTCATTTAAATCCGTTCAGTAGTTTTAGCGTGATTGATGGACAAACATCCAAATATACAAGAAAAGAAAAATTGCAATTTATAATATTAGTGTGATTGCATCCTCTAAATAAGGGTCTATTAAGACCAAATCCGGAACACCTATTTTGGCATATCTCTGTGAACCCACTTAACACCTATTTCTTTGATGAAACTCGACTACATCTTGCGTTGTCAGGATATTTTAACGATAGTAGGTATGTAGAAAGAAAGAAAATAAATATAAAATGAGATACCCAACAGACGATGTCCAAGATATAGTGACATGTAAAAATTATAAGTATATGAAAAGTCATTCACACATTTATATTGATAATCTTACAGTCATATTGTCATGAGTTAGTGCCTAGATTGCGTTCGGTACTCGTCACGTGGATCTATAAGAGCGGCGATGGAGAATCAGTCGGCTTTAGTACGTGTTTACTGTGACCGCGTCTCTCACTTTTCTCAAGTATTCGCAACTAAATATTAATCGCAACAAAAATATGCAGAGCCAATGCAATTCGATCCATCGAGCCAATTCAATCAAATAATTTCATTAAATTATTTATGCAAGGAACAAGAAATTTATTAGTGAGTTGCAATGTTTGTTTATTACAAAAAATATGAATAACAATAAAAGTGATTCAGTAAAGTGTTTGGACAGTTTTAATCCCGACAATCGAGTTAACTCACGTTTTTCTTAACTTTATGTCACTATAAGAAGTTTTATTTGATGAACATTTTCCGAGCAGATTTTTATCACTTTAATGACAAACCAAAGAAACGTTATCCTTCTCAAGAATTTATCTTTCGTAAGAGATAAGGGTTAATGACTGTAAAACATTTGTAAGAGTAATCGTCAATACAAATAAGAAAAAGTGCGCAACCTTCACATACTGCATGAAGTAGAAAAGTAAAGTGATATCACAAGTTACTGGTGGTGAAGTGGACGCCAAATGTTTATTGACAACAACTACTAAGTGCATTATCTACAGCAGGAGTCGATGAGACTTAACTACCGGAAAATTAGTAAAGTCACTACTATTTAAGATTATCATTTTCCTGTGAACCACCTTTAGTTCACAAACATGGGTGAGAAAGAAAAAAATAAAGACATTGAAGAATACAACCCCTTCGAGCATCGGGAAGTTGTCAAACCAAATTCGTAAGTAATATTATTCATTTCTTACATAATCCCATAAAAAACCAGAACAAACCCGTAATTTCTCTAACTAGAAATAAGCATGATATTTAATTATCTTTTAATCATACGTTCTGAACTTCGTAAACAGTCAAGTTATTATGTTATACCGCTGACCGTAAAAAGATCGTTACATTGCGCTCAAATTTAAATCATCCTATCATGGCAATCCCATACATCGATTGGGTCAAGTCCCAAAATATGTTTATAATGTTGCATCATTTGGGATGGCACGTGGTCCAAATGATTAGTGGATACTACGCGTAATATTGCAGACAATCAGCGAATTTGTAGCCGTCCCTAACGTGGACAACGCTTAATCAATACTTATTACAATCATTGATAGAATTTGGCCTACTTTTCACATGGTCTATTTTAAAATATAGTGAGACTAACCGTGAACTTACAATGAAAAGGCCAATCAATTTTATTTTAAGTATTAGACTGCTCTTTGTGACCTTTCAAAATATTCCACGCAACTTTAAAGATGCAAGAATAAGTGTCGATTTCATACATCTTTAATGAATAAATATTTACTTTTCAGAGACCTTAGATCGTTGGCGAATCTTATAAAGTCTTCTTTAGGGTCAGGACTACTTGCTATGCCTTTAGCATTCTCGAATGCTGGTTGGGGAGTTGGCATTGTAGGAACAGTGATAGTGGCATTTATCTGCGGACATTGTGTACATATATTTGTGAGTATTTTTGCTTAGGTTCTTTTTTTCTATTATTTATTTTATCTTCGTATTTACAGAAATGAGAAAAGCAATGCAAAATCCAATGGAGACCATGATTAAAATCAATAAGTGTAGTTTTCACGTGTTTTTGTTTACTTGCGTAGCGCATGGCAATGCACGTGCAGTAAACAAATAAAAGTACGCCTTACGTTGTACTTGAAAACGGGAGAAATTAATGACTTTTTAAACTACTTAATTTCATGTGCTGTGCAAAATTACGCCTTTCTCACGCGTATACGAGATACGATGCAGTTGCAGTTAACAAACACATACTCAATACACTGAATAAATCCTACAAAACTCTTTATAAAATTATACCATCAGATCTTGTCTAGTACGACTATTTCGTTTCGTTCTCCTTTCTCGTTTCCTTTTTCGTTTCGTTCTCCTTTGTCACATTTAACTTGTTAAATTATTTCATTTAATGATAACAGATATGTGACTGCAGAATTTAGCAAACCAATTTTAATTTTAGTCTAATCTTAAATCAATAATGTGTAATAATATTACATTTTCAGGTAGAAACATCCCGAGGGTGCTGTCGATTAGAAAGGAAGCCGTTACTAAGTTACTCAGAAACGTGTCGGTCAGCGTTTGCAAATGGACCCAAATGTGTCAGACCACTTGCCAACTTTGCACAGTAAGATACAAGACCTATATTCTTGTTATTGTTACAGATCATTATCTACTAAGTATACTTGAGCACCTGTAACTCACTCATTGATAAAGTATTAGGGCAAACCTCCTTTTAATTCAAACAATTTTCCTAAACATTCATAATGTACCTATGTAATTCGACAAATTAACGGACATCTCACTATTTCTAATAAAAATATCTAAATTATTTGCGTACTGACGCAAGACTTGCATCATAATGAGATAT